GAAAGGAAAGGAAAGGAAAGGAAAGGAAAGGAAAGGAAAGGAAAGGAAAGGAAAGGAAAGGGACCCTGGGACTCAGTGCTTGTAATTAATCAGAGTTTTTGCCTTTCTCAGTTATTTGGACATGAATATCTCGCTGTACAGGTGCAGAGAACTTGTCCCAGGAGACACAAATCCCGGGAAAGCCCTCCAGGGACTTGTGCAACACAAGCAAGGGGAGTCAAACACCAAGTTAATGGGAATCTGCACACACAGAATCCAACAAATCAAGCAGAATCCAACGGAGCAACGCCCAGTTTCAGATCTGTGGAAGCTCATGGATAAAATGAATACAAGGACAAGAATTAATAACATAAAAGCTTCACTTGCAACTCATATCACGGAATCCCAGGATGGTTTGGGGGTTGGAGGGGACCTTAAAGATCATCCAGTTGCAACCCCAGGGACACCTTCCACTATCCCAGGCTGCTCCAACCTGGCCTTGGACACTTCCAGGGATCCAGGGGCAGCCACAGCTTCTCTGGGCAACCTGGGATGGAGAAACTTTGCTCTCTGGAATATATAAAGATATATTCCACTCACATTACTGTCACCTCAAGAGTATTAAATGACCAGGAATTAAAAACATTCCCGTGCTGAGCCAGAATAAACTGTCAGGGCTTGTTCTGCACCACCTTGAGAGCAGGAATGAAAGAGGAGTCATTGTCACCCCTGGGATGAGCTACATGCTGTCTTCCCTGGAGAAATTCCTAAGCTGCCAGGTTTCCTAAAGCTCTTTGTGTCACAAGTCCTTTCCTGATGTATTACAGGACTTCTATTGGATGTACTTTCCCTCACAGAGCTCAGAGTCTCAGCATTTGGCTCCAAGAAGGAAAATTTAACAGGTTCCCTCACAAAAACACTGAGGAGCCTTGAGAGGGAGAGCTGGGAATGTTCACCTGGAGTAGAGAAGGCTCCAGGGAGAGCTGAGAGCCCCTGGCAGGGCCTAAAGGGGCTCCAGGAGAGCTGGAGAGGGACTGGGGACAAGGCCTGGAGGGACAGGACACAGGGAATGGCTTCCCAGTGCCAGAGGGCAGGGATAGATGGGATATTGGGAAGGAATTGCTCTCTGGGAGGGTGGGGAGGGGCTGGAATGGATTTCCCAGAGAAGTTGTGGCTGCCCCTGGATCCCTGGAAGTGTTCAAGGCCGGGTTGGAGCAACCTGGGCTAGTGGAAGGTGTCCCTGCCCATGGCAGGGGGTGGAACAAGACGATTTTTAAGTTCCCTTCCAACCCAAACCATCCTGGGATTGACGACAAACAGGGACACACAGGGAACGGTTCCGCGGTCTCACAGGAAGTCGGACACAGGGAATGTCAGGGAGCAGGACATGGGAAAGGGAGGAGCTCCGGCATGTGGAGGTCACGGAAAGGCAAACCCAGCTCCTCCAGTCACACATTTATCCTAAAACGGGTCACCGGGCTGGGAACACCCCCGGGGGTCCTTTTCCCGGCTGGAACAGCGGAGAGGGGGGAAATCACCGGGGGAAAGGGGAGGGAAGAGAGACAGGGGCAAGAAGAGACAGGGGCAGAGGAAGGGGCAGGAACAGGGACAGAATAACATGGGGGGGAGGGAGATGGAAGCGGCGGGTCAGCCCGGGCCGGGGGTGACTCGGAGCGCCCCGGCGTGTCCCGGGGACCTCCCGGGCGGCGCCGCGCTCACCCTGACGCCCTTGACCACGGTGATATTCTCATTCTCGTCCGCCTCGAAGGTGACCCGCCGGGTGCTGCCGCCGCCGCCCATCTCGGCCCGGCCCGGGGACGGTCCCAAGGAGACTCTCCGAGCGCGCTGCCAGCACCGCCCCGCAGCAACAACGCCGCTCATTGGCCCGCCGCGCGCCTCCGCACGTAGAACGGCGCTCCCCATTGGCTGATGCGGCGCGTTGCCATGGGAACGGCGCGGCCCCGGCCGAGGAGCGACAGGTACCGGAACCGTGCGGGAACTTTTTTCGGGGCGAACTTCGCCAAGGGGGTAAGAACTACAAGTCCCGTGATGCTCCGCGGCGGGGAAACGTTGGTGGGTGTTTGCGCATGCGCGGAGCACGCTGGGTAATGTAGTCCTGACCATCTCTGATCCTGCCGGGATCCTTCCTGGCAGCAGCTGAGGGAGCTGGGAGGGCTCAGCCTGGAGCAAAGGAGGCTCAGGGGGGACCTTCTGGCTCTGCAAGTCCCTGACAGGAGGGGGGAGCCGGGAGGAGGTCGGGCTCTGCTCCCAGGGAACAAGGGCCAGGAGGAGAGGGAATGGCCTCAAGCTGTCCCAGGGGAGGGTCAGGTTGGACATCAGGAGGAATTTCTTCATGGAAAGAGTTGTCCAGCCCAGGGCAGGGGTGGAGTCTCCATCCCTGGAGGGATTTCAAATCCCTGTGGATGTGGCACTTGGGGACACGGGGCAGTGGTGGCCTTGGCACTGCTGGGAATGGTTGGACTCCGTGATCTCGGAGGTCTTTTCCAACCTAAACGATTCCAGGATTCTGTGGTGTGCTGTGGGCTGAGTGCCCCAGGCTCCTCATCCCCTTTTCCACCCCATAACAGAATGAAATTCCCATTAGCACAGTCCCCTTGGCCACATAATTTTCTTCAAGAGTTTAATAATGTTATTAACACCTAATCCATTCCCTTTCAGCCTGCAAGATAACCTGCATCTGGATGTGGCTGTTCTGGGGGCAAAACCTTCCCTGTGGATCCCAGGACATCCAACCTGAATACACATTGTTTTGTCTCTCATCTGGTCCCTCTTTTACCTCCTGAAGCCCCAAATCTTCTGCTGGGACTTTGTGGCAACACACAAAAAATAACAACCGTGATTTTTGGGAAGCCTTATCTTTGTTTTTTTTCCCCCCTTTCCAAACCCTTCTTGTCTTGGCTCAAGGAGTGGAAGCCTATTTGTACCAGAGTGACACCAAAATCTTCACTTCCACTTAGAAGCAATTTGCTCCAGCGTGGTTTTTGCACAATAATCATCAGGATTTTTTCATCCTGATGCATTTTCTTTCTCTGCCTCCATGAAAACCCCACTCTGGCTGCATCAGCAGAGCTGCTCACGTGCCCTTGATATATTTGCCAGCCATTTTTATTTGGGTATAAACTATCAGCCAACATTTCAGCAGTATCTGCCTTCCTTCCTTGGGGCTTCAGATCTTGCTGAAGCCTTGGCTGGTGGCCACTTTGCTCCCAAATAAAAGCTGCTTGGGAATATTTCGGGGACGTGGAGCTGTTCCCTGGATGTGATTTTATGCCTGGTTTGTACAGATGTTAAACCACTTTCTGTGAGGGGGAACTGTGTGTTTTTAAGGGAAGAAATGGATTGGGAATCCCTCTGTCTTCACACTGAGCACCAAACTGAGCGGGTTGAATTTCCTTATTTTTCTCCACTGGGAGTGTTTTTTTAGGGGTCAAACTGTATTTATTTTTAGGGGTCAAGCTGCATTTATTTTTAGGAGTCAAACTGTATTTATTTTTAGGGGTCAAGCTGCATCTATTTTTAGGGGTCAAACTGTATTTATTCAGTGAATAAATGCCCAGCCCCAAATCAGAAAGCAGCTCTTCTCCTATATTTATTTGGGAGAGTACAGTGAAAATACACTTGTCTTGCTGATTGATATTTAGGAATGGAGGTTTTAACAACAGCTCTATTTCCTACCAGGGTTTGGTTTTGGGGGCTTTTTTTTTTTTTTTAATGATTGTTTTGTGGGACTGGAAATTACAGAATGTGGAAACATATGAAGATTTCAGGACAAGTGGGCAGAATTCCATCTCCAAATGGCTTTGGGTGGTTTTGGTGTGGCTGGGAGGTTCCCTGGCTGTGGGAAGAGCAGGGGCTGAGGTACCCCAGGATTTATGGCTCCCCTTTAATAGTTGGAAATGAAAGACTCTTTGCTGCAGGCCAAAGCCATCCACATGTCAGGGGCTTCTCTCTGTGGACTGTCAGAGCTGTTTGAGAGCTCTCTCAAGGATGGTGCTAAATGAAAGGAAAAAGGATTAGAAATTAAAGTTAGAAAAGGCTACAAGAAGTTTGGAGCCCCAAAAATCATTTGTTAACCAGTGGCAAATAAACTCCAGCCCAGCTCACAACTCTCAGGAGCAATTTGCAACCAGAAGGAGAAGCTTTTCTGTGTAAAACTGCAAACAGTTTATGTGTTCACACAAATAATGGGCTTTTTTAAGAGGGCTGTCCATGTGGGAGAACACTGACTGGACCAGTTCCCTTCAGTGGTCACTGGGAGCACATTTCTGCCGAGGAAAAACACAACATAAAACGGGAATGACAAATAAAAGTGTCTCAGTCAATACACAGCTGTTAATTGCTCCTGATCTTGATGGATCTGAGCCCACTTTGGCCTTGTGTGAGCAGCAAATCCATCTGAGGCTGGGGAACTTCAGGTATATTGTTGTGGATCTGGAAAACAAGCTTTGAGTCACACAACCAGGGAATCACTGAAGTTGGAAAAGCTCTCCAGGATCAAGTCCGACTATTCCCAGCACTGCCCCATGTCCCCAAGTGCCACATCCACAGGGATTTGAAGTCCCTCCAGGGATGGGGACTCCACCCCTGCCCTGGGCTGGACAACCCTTTCCATGAAGAAATTCCTCCTGATGTCCAATCTGCCCCTCCCCTGGCACAGCTTGAGGCTGTTCCCTCTCCTCCTGTCCCTTGTTCCCTGGGAGCAGAGCCCGACCCCCACTCCTGGCTCCCCCCTCCTGTCAGGGACTTGCAGAGCCAGAAGGTCCCCCCTGAGCCTCCTTTGCTCCAGGCTGAGCCCCCTCAGCTCCCTCAGGAATTCTCCAGACCCTTCCCAGCTCCCTTCCCTTCCCTGCACACACTCCAGCCCCTCCATGTCTCTCCTGTCTGAGGGGCCCAGAACTGCCCCCAGGATTCCAGGATTCCCCAGTGCCCCATAAAATGTTTAGATGGTTATTATTATTATCATCATCATTATCATCAATATTTTTATATCATTATCATTATTATTGGGTTAAAATCCTTCACTTTTTCTGGTGCCATGTGCTTTTCCCACATATCCATTCCCATTCCCAGATTATAACTGCCTGATCCTTTGCTAAAACACAATCCTCTTGTCCAGCCCTGTCCTTGTCTGAGCATATTCCTCAGTGGCAAAACCATTTCTTCCACCACTCAGTGCTCAGTTTTTCTCACACGAATTCCACTCAAAGAGCAGCGAAGGACGGCGGCGCCAGACATTCCCAAATAAATCCTAATGACCCCAGGAACAACTTGCTGTTAAATTGGAGTCTCAGGACTTTAAAAACGCCCCGGAAAGCCTGGCTGGGGGAGGTGGGGATGGCTCACTGCACACCTGCTGGCAGGGATTGCTCCGGGGAGGATCGTCCTGCCCGGTCACTGTCACGGGGAGCACGTTGTACCGGGTGACTTTACCCCTTCTGCCCTGCTGGTCGTCTGTTCCTGGGAAATGTTCGGCTTGGAAGGGCTTGGATAGGTCCTGAGTTTCTCCTTATCAGCAAATGAACGTTGTAGCCAAGTGTGCAAATGCTCAAAGTATGGAATTAATCTTCCCCGCCGGGCGGAACACAGGCCTGCTGCTGGAAGGGAGATTTCCTGAGGAAATGATGTGTCTTCAGGACATACAGACAATCCTGAAAGGGTTGGGTTGGAAGGGACATCAAAGGCCATCCAGTTCCAACCCCAGGGACACCTTCCACTGTCCCAGGTTGCTCCAACCTGGCCTGGGACACTTCCAGGGATTCAGGGGCAGCCACAGCTTCTCTGGGAAATCCATTCCAGACCCTCCCCATCCTCCCAGACAGCAATTCCTTCCCAAT